TTGTCAGAAATACTAGTTAACTTCTCCTCTCTACTACTTTCCTTTACTAGTGATTTTTCTCTAGTCTCCAAGATGAAACTACCCCAACGCTGTAAAAAAGACAGACTTTTGATGCTTTTGACCCAGTTTGTTAAAGATTTTTCAGTTGTGCACTAGGCATTACAATAAAATATTTTAATTTTTATGAAGTTTTATAATTGAATATTTTCCTTTACCTATATCTCGTCTGCAATATTTATTTAGTCTTTTTACATGTCTTTACTTAGTTAAAATGTAGAGAGATAAATATGGTTGTTACTTTGCAGGGAAGATTCAGTACATTAATATAAACTGCACACTAATTCCCCCAAAGCATATATATATGTTGTAAACCTGAAGACTTTTTACACAGCTGCTTATTGCTAAACAGTGCCTTGTCCAGAAGGGGACAATCTGTGTCTCTAATTGCTGTCACTGAAGCTGAGATTCATTATGTGACTTTCCCATTAAAATGTGAGCATTAATTTGTATAATGAAATATCACCCACTGCAGTGTTCATTAGCCATGCCCTACTGTATACTGCACATTGTTAGCTACCTAGAAACTGTAGTTAATTTCACTAATGGATATTTCCCTACTTAGTGTTTGGTAGGAAATTTATACTGTAACATTACCTCTTAAACTTTTAAGGAAATTTAAATTCAATCAATTATTTTCAACAAAAGTTTGGGATGTCATTAAGACAGGAGAAAAGGCATGCTGTACAATGTTAAGGATGGGAAATCTGGAGAAATCTAGAGAAATGAAAAGTCCTTTTAGTTCATCTTAGAAATGTAAGAATAAAGGATGTTCAATACCAAAATTGTCTCCTCTTGGAGCACACATACCCATTTTCCTTAATTATTCATATTGCTCATCCCACTACAAGCGCCTTCAGAGAATGGCAACAGGCAGTCTTTTTTTAGGAAGAAAATGTGAATTGAATCCATTTAAAAGAGCACCATTTTTACTGTATTTCATCAGCTCATCTAAGCAAGTTTTAAAATTGGCTCGTCACATTTCCAAGGGAAAATGCAGTAACACTGTAAATGTATGTAATACATCTAATACATGTAAGGTGTGTGCCACACATATCGTAACATACTCTCAGTCAACGGATGCAGCCCTGCAAGGTTTTTCTTCCTATCCCTCTCTTTTTTAGGTTTCTTCTGTTTAGCACAACTCAAACCTTCTTCAGCGGCCTACTTTGTTCATGCACATTATTCTTATTTTCACTGCTCGGGGGATTCAACTGTGCCAGTCATACTGGGAATATGCCTGAGCACCTAATGATCACACAAACCCAAGCTGGTCTCCATCTGCAGAAGCTTCTGAACTCTAATAGAAGGTGCAAGGAGGTCTTAAAGCTAATCTGAAAGCAGCCCCTCCAGAATGTGTCACTTGTCAAAGGTAGGACATATGATTTTTTTTTTTTTTTTTTCATTTAACTGTATCTGTGCTCTCCAAAAGTCTAGGCATGAAAGTAAAAACCACACCCGTTTCCTTTATTTCAGTGGGAACTGAGAGTGCTCAAGAGCATGAAGAAGATGCTCAGCTCCTTGAATGAAAGAGCCTTAAATTGCTGCCCCAGAGGGGGAAAATGAAAACTCTGGAATCACCTGCCTGTGGCACATTATGGGTCTGAGATACTTGGAAGGTTTTCTTTTTTAGAAAATCTGAACATCTCTAAGCCTTCTGTGTTATAACCTTCCCAGCTGTGTTACATATTATTTTATAATCAGGAAGCTGAATCACAAAGTGGCCAGTCTACCACATGTCTACCATGCACTACCGGTGCACATAAATGCTTTGTCCTTTTTTCTGCATCTCTTCACACAGCAAGTTTGTGTGACTTGAAGTAACTATCTCTGAAGAAGCAAGATCATACAGGCCCTCTCTATTCACTGGGCAACACAAAAAGTCACCTAGGATGACTACAAGAATTCTTCCTGTTCTCTCTAAGCCCCAAGGCTCTGAAGCAGTTTGCCCTAAGAGTCCTTCCTCTCTTCTCTTGGGGCTGTACTAGGGAACAGTTTTGTCCTTCAGCTGTTTTTAGAGCAAGAAAAAGGAGAAACTGATTTCACATAATTAGGCCCTTTTCTTCTTATCACATGTGAACAATCAGAAATCGTATCTTACTATCTTCCCCTTAAAGCTCTCCTTGGCCAAGTATCACTGAATAAGATAAGAAGAAAAATGCTCTACAATTGTGTGTTGAGGCTCAACTGAGCATGCTAAATAAAACCTTCATTTTATTTGTTTCCCTTCAGAAGCTTGTAATACGACAGTAAACTACACAGAAACTGAGACTCGGTGTGAAGAAGGTTGCAACCATGAAATATCCAAGAGAAAAAAGAAGCAACCCCAGCCACCAGCTATTTAATCTAAAATAGAGCACAGCCTTCTCCTCTCGTGGAGGATTTAAATGGCATCTCTAGCTTTTTGGGGGGCCAACTGCCACAAAAGCACCTCCTGGCTGGATCAGACACTGGGTCTTGTCTTGGCATGCGTACCAAACCAACCTACTCTGGTGCCTCCAAACACACAGATGTTCGAAGGAACCTGACTTCTGCTGAGCTGCTTGAGCTCATCTCTAACAAACAGGTGCTGTGAGAACAAGAACAGTAATTGAGTTAATGTAGTGGAGAAACACAGTAAAGTGTTTTTTATCAGTCAGTTATACAATCCAGGCATATAATAAAGACAGAGTGTGACATAAAAGGCAGGAAACTGTCCCTGATAAGTATGAGCTAACCAGTATTTGTTTAATAACTGGTATCTATTACATCATTTCCATTTACTGCAAAGAAACTTAATTTTTATCTAATAACTCTAGTAATTTGCCAATTTACATTTTTATAATATTTATTAGGATTATTTCCAATATGTAAAACATTGCTCCATTTGAATACACTTTTGTCTTTATTTACAAATACTTTGTTCTCAACCTAACGGAAATTGATCTTTATCTATTTTTAAATTATAATTTTAAAATACATTGCAAATGGTGTTTCAATAGTCTGTATGGTGTTCTCTCTTTTTTAATTTTATACATAATTTCTTTTTTCTTATTTTTATTTTGTTTATTCAGATTTAATATGCGAGTTTTATGGAATATTTCCATTGCAATTAATTTTCTCTCCATTAGTTCTAAACCACAAATATCAAATACATAATCACCACTGCCTTTAAAACAAGAACAAAATGACCACTATATATTTAAGCAAAAAGGAGAGATGTATATCCTCAGGTTATTTTAAAGAACTTTTCTTTGCATCTCCAATAGTAAATATGTCAAACTGTTTAAACATCATAGTTACAGTATTATTTTCCAATAAAATAACTACCCTTTGTTGACTTTTATTACATTAGAGAGCACACAAACAGGGTTTTCATTGTGGTGAGGTTATTTTGGGGTTGGTTGGTTGGTTGGATTGGTTTCATTTTTGTTTGTTTGCTGTTGGTTTTTTAGTTTTGTGGGTTTTTTTGTTTGGTTAGTTGTTTTTTTGTTTTGTTTTGTTCACAAAGTCCAACACAGAGAAAAGAATATTCCTGCCCTAAATAGTTTGCAATTCAATCAAACAAAACTACTTTAGGGTACGAAATTTTACAACTCAGATCAAACCAGTATGGTATACTACTACACAATCCAAAGAAAGAAGAATAAAGATACAATGAACAAACTTTTCCACCTCAACAATGAAGGTTTTTTTCTCTAAACAATTTTCATGCTTCATTTTCAATTTTTCAAAATCAGGCCTCGCATTTGCAAACCAGACATTAAGTATTATACCTGCTCAAACACACAGGAGAAACATGAGTGCTGATTTTGGGAAGGAAGGAAAATACTGCTTATCTGGTACTTCAGTAAAAAACAAAAATTAAAAGCTAAGTTTTTCAAGTAGGAGGTACAACTGAAAAATATTTCTTCATGCAATTTATTTTACTTATCTATTAGAAAAGTAGCAGTAAAATTCTGAAATTCATTTAAAATGGTTTAAGAAAATGACTCTTAAATTACAGTGATCATTATGTCTGTTTCCAAAGAGAAGTTCCCTAAATCTCCAGTTCTGCAGACTCTCTCAAAGCCTACTACCATACCTAAAACTTGGAAGAAAACAGGATCATATTGGCCAGATAAAAAATTTCTAGTGATGTCAACAGGACATGAGAATATCAACATTGTATGCCAGATTTTAATTATGGATAGAGTAAGTCCTCTTAAACATATACTGTGTCTCTACATGACCCTTGCCACCCACGTATGTACTTTTAAGCAAACAAGGCACAGTTTAAAAGGAGTGGTTATACTTTACTGGCATCAAGAACAACCTGCCCTATGTGTGTCATACCAAAATAAGGTGAGAATCCAGACCAGTGGTAAGTCTCTGTAGGGTAGAAATGCTGTGATTGTGACTAAAATAAAATGTGGCAGGTTTGACCATTGTGCAAAGCATGCTAAGTTTTACTACTTACAAGTACTGAGTCAGGTGAGTTCTAGTGAAAAAATGCAGATCTGTGAAGCTGATGTATTCATACGAACAGGGAGAGGTTAAAAATGAGCATGCTAAATGGGACAAAAATAGTAACTCTGAGAAAAACATTCAGACTCCCTAAGCAGATGCCAAGGAAGGCCTTTGAAGCAGTTAGTATAACTAAGTCTGAAACCAATAGGCTTATGCCTATTGAAGGACAAGGGTAATTGAAGGAAACAGTGATGAAGCAGGGAAGGAGACAGAAATAACCTCAACTGGGAAAAGATGATTCTATTAAAGTGGTCTTTATCCAACAACACATTCCTTGTGCTTTTATTTAAGACTGTCATATATCTTTCTCAGAAGACTTTCTCCAACTAATGAATCCAAATCTACACTGGGAATTCAGGCTCCTAGCCACATACCATGCGAGCCCCTTCTCCACTCCCACCTCCCGCCGCCCCCACACACGTGTTGACAGTGCTCCCCTCACTTGTTTCTCTCACCTGTATGTATTCTCAAGTGGACCTTTAAGTGATGTGATGTTCTGAAAGTTTTTCCACAATATGGGCAGTCTTTCATGGCAGAACCAAGGCTCCTGTCTCTCAGTAAAGCTGGCTGCTGGACTCCTACGGATCTCCCAGCTTCTTCTCCAATGTCTGCAACACAGAAATGTTCTCACATCACTTCAGCACATGTCAGAAGTTGTTCTCACTAAAACTGCTAACACAACACAAAGTTAAACATGTCAATACTACACCTGTCTATTTCATTCTTTAAATCTGACAGAATGCTGACAATTCATGTATTTTCTTGTTATTGTCTTAAATTATTTCATCTTTCCTATCATCATTTTAAGCAACATATGGTACCTTTATATTGAACTGAATTATACAAGAAAAGAAACAGCTGTGTCAGCAGCTGGTTTGATTTCTTCTTTTGCTTAGTTCCTATTAATTTTTTTTAAAAAAAAAAAAGTTTTAGATTGTTGTTTTGTTGAATCTATTTAATTTATCAGTATTGTGAAAATTTGTATGCCTTTAGAGGAGGAAAGTTTCCCTCAGTATATTAAAACCTCCCAAAACAAAAGAGTTGCAGTGAAGGGGGGTGGGGTGTCCAACAGCAGTTGCTGGGTCTACACACAAAGCTAATCAGCTTCCTTCTGCAGCATTTCAGCACTGGAGTTACAACACACGACCTAGTGAGTGACCTAATATCACAGGAAAGACAACAAAAAAAACTGGTCAGATGAGGAGGAATTCCTTCTCCCTCTCACCCACAGCTCCCGAGTTTTATCCTTCAACACAATGGAGGAGACTCCAGGACATCCCTTCTCTCTCCTGATATAAAGGAAGAGTGATTCTCAGCCATCTTGAATAAGCTGCTATTATCCAAGCAAGCTATGAACAATGTAACTTATGAAAGACTGACACAAAAATTGCAAAAACGTGGGACATTTTTTAAAAGTCATTATCCAAACCACACAAGAGTCAACTATCATCATTTACTTACAGAGTCATGTATTATCACATATATGTATCAATCAATTATTTCACCCAAAAGTACCATGGCAAATGTTGAAATTCAGAACCAGATTTTGGCTGCTGGCATGCCACAGAGCTGCAACACATGGTAACATCATCACACCCCTCTGCAAAAGCTGAGCTGTCTGGGTGACATTGAGGTGGGGAGCACATAGTTAAAATCTGCATGCAGAGTCTTGATTATTTTAACCATAAACTACTGACTATAAATGTTCTGTCTTTACCCATTTGATGTGTAACTAAAGCTGTAAGGAAACATAGTGCAGTTTACACAGCATTGCCTTTTAAATGGAAGTGATGGAACAGAAGAAAGACTTAAACATTTGGCTCTAATAAAAACTATTCACATAGAAGCAGAGACCCAAATACCACATTTCTGGAAAAGGTAACACAGGCATTTCATTAATGATTATATAAACGGTCCCCCTAAACTATTTTGCTTAAAGCTGAAAGAAGGGGATGACAGAGAGATTGAAATTCATATACATAAATGCTTATCTTAGTCATGTATGTAATCAAGCTATTGCTAGTTTTCAAAAGACAAAATCTGATCGTTTTCTCATCACATTCTTGTTTAACATTTTCTGATTGTTCTTAGACTGCAGAGTTAAAGCACAATATTTAAGTTAGAAAGCTAGTAACTGTCATTTTGAATTATTCACAGGTAATCTAAAGTAACATACTGCAGGAGTTTATTTTGTCTTTGGGAGTCCAGAAAAAATCTATATGGGTGCTAGTCTATAATTCCAATCTCCCTAAAGAGTTTAGATTTTCCACTTTTTTTTCTCCTCAAAGTTGTATATAATCACGTCTTAAGCTGCTTGGGGAAAAATTGAATTCCTGAGTGCAAAAAGATTTTTCTGAAGTGCAAAATGCATGAATGATAAACTGCAGGATTTTATTTTGGTTTTCAATAAATAGTATATGAGCATTATAGATAAATATATAGATAAAGCTAACAAGCCACTCAGGAGGAATTTACCGAGTAAGTCTACTAGTTATGTTTTGCTATATGTCACTCTAAATGATGGCCTGTTATCCATTTGCCTTTTATCTTTCTATCTGGAATATGTGTGGCCCAATAAAAAAGAATAAATTTGTAAGATAAACAGCTCGCTTTGCAGATTTAAGAGTCTAATTTTCACTTTACACAAAATTGAATTTTTTCAAGGCAGCGAGACGATGGAGTTTACTCTAGCACTAATCCCTCTGAAAAAGCAAACTGAAAACAACAATGAAGCAAAGAAAGATGTGGGTGGTCTGAAGAGTTTTCTTTTAGATTTAAGTAGACATACAGTAGATAGCTCCAAAGGCTTTGCTCCAACAGGGGCCTTACCTTGAAGAATTTTTCTTCCCACAGTGAAAGCATTCTTAAGACTTTAAAGCTGGGCTGAGGGGTTTTCTTTTGAATCCCTCTGCCTACAAAGCCCACCGAAGCGCTGGAGGCCATCGCTACCTGAATGAGCAGCTTTACATCTAAGTCCTTTTCTTTCAAACAATGAAAAGATATGTTCAAGGCTGCCGACTCTCCCCATCAAATGCTACCCCAGCTTCTTACTAGGGCCCCGTTTTGGCAAATTGTACCTTTCTGTCAAGGCACTTAAGTTGAAAATGTGCTTAACTTTAAAATGCATTTAAGTCTCACCAGTTTTGCTACCAAGGGTTTTTTATATTGAGTCGCTTAAAGCAACCTATGGAAACTGAAGGGGAAAAAAAGTGACACAGTAGGAGGGAAAAACTGGTGAATTCTACACCTATGATGTCCCCTTTCTCCTGCTATTGAGACTCCCTTCAAAAGTAGGAACTCCCAGGTCCGTGAAGTTGTGTGAAACTAGTAACGTTTTCCAGACCTGCGGAACTAGGACTAGCCTCAGCAAATTAATTTATGAGTTAATCAGGATTTTAACTATGGGTTTTGGGCTGCTCAGTTCTGAGGATGAAAGACCAGGAAGGAAAGACAAGAGTTACTTATCTTAGAGCCATTGTGGTTCACTGAGTTATGTGGTCTAAATGATGTGCACTCGATGCACATGAAATTAGACTGCTTTTTTAGCTATCTACTTCCATTACAGGCAGTTCTACGTCCTGAATGTCTTCCTGCCCATCCCTGTCTTTCCTGATTCGAATGCAGGAAATAACAGAACAGAATATAAAATATTGTATAGATATACATGCTGGATGTAAGGCTTTTGAGCCTTGTCTCTGAACTTACTTTCGCTGAGTTTTCCTTTCACTTTGCATCTGTTCACAGAAAAAGTCACGGACAGAAGTGCAAAAAGTAACACTCATTTCTACACATGAAACCAGTCTTTGTGTCAGTGTAAGGGGAAGGCAACGGCTGTGAGAGCTCCAGCTGCTACGTAGGCTGTATCTGCCGGGCAGGACGATACGCTCTGTGGCACAGGACACACAGGAGTTCAGCCACAGAGCAGCTTCTGCAGTGGTATGACAGGGACATTTCTTGCACACCATGTCTCAGCTAAGCTAAGAACTGCCTGGTGTGCATGCTCTCACGGGACCAATCCAGGGGAAGTTCGCTTTAACATCGTATCGAAAGGTGGCAGTTAGCCATATAACCAAAGAGCCAGTTTGGCTAAAATGTGAGCAAACCTATCTGCCACACAGATTAAAATTAAAAGTAAGCAATCCATAAAATCAGTAGTGGAAGGACTAGTCCTTCTTCAGACAGATGCCCACTTCTTAGGAGAGGAGAGACAAAAAGCCAGCCCTCTTTGCTCAGCATGGAGACGGCCCATGTAGTGCTCCAGGCTGCTTCCCCACCACCACAGCACCCAGAAGGGAAATTTCCAGAGCCAGACCATCCCAATAAACAGCTTTGAGACAGAAGCACTTTTACAGTAGCAGGTTAAAAGAGAGAGAGAGGGGAACACACCAGTGAATCCTTTTTTTACAGCAGGTATCTTACTAGGGATTAGAAATTATCTGCTCAGAAATGAGCCACTGCCACAGCTGGCAGGGCCCTCAGCACATCAATGGAGATGCTACAGAGGCACAATGCCAACTGCAGTGGACACTTCTAGAAAAGAGAAGACAAACTCAGGTGAGCAGTGCATCTGTGTACTCAAAGCAGAAGCCATCTAGCCAGTCATACGAAGAGCGAAATAAAAAGAATTATTTGAAATTTTCATGTATGCTCTGTCTGACTGTTCTACCTGGGTGGGATGAGTCTATAAACACAATTAGAAATGGATTGAGTGATTTTGTAAAACCTGATTTCATTTGGTTAGGTAGCAGCACTGACTTAGGTCATTTTAGCAGCCAAATTTTCAAAGGACCATCTACATACATGTCCCATAAATTTTACCAGAGTATTTATTTGCTGTGTGCATGTGAAAGTGCAGGGATTCACAAAGAGGTATTTTGGTGTTCAAAGGAGCTAAATTGCAGTCCTCATGCACAGTAAATTATCAATGAAGTCAGTTGGAATTTGTCGACACAAGGGCTGCCAAATTAGCCAAAACCAGGCAATTGCCTGCAAAAGGTAATCAACACACAGAATAGGTAATCACACTTACAAGTATGTGTTTGCTCTTGCACATTTTTCAGACATTATTAAAGAGCACTTTGAAAACGTGGCCAGCAGCTTTTAAAGCTACACATAATCCCAGGTTTTCATACATTTCTGAAATTCAAAATATTTGTAGTTCTTTAGCACTGCCTGTAAAGTTCACGAAACATGGCACAACGAGAAGTGGCAGTGACCACAGATATTTTTGATGCTCTATAAACCACCCAGACTAGCCCATCTTCTGATAGGCAAAATTACACCCTGAACCTAAAGTCAGGAAAGGAGCAGAAGATAGGCAGAGTGTTACTGCTGTCACTGCTGCCACCTTTACTCAGGTATGCCTGGACTCGACCACCTCATTACCTGGGAAGCAGCATACCATACATTAAGTTTCTGGAAAAACATGTTTTACCTTTCTTGCCTTTTCCTTAGAAAAAGCTTTAATAACGCTGGAAATAGTGGAAAATAGGCATATAACCAGGGATGTATAATTAACCAAATTTTTCTAGCTACCTGAAGTAGCTTCAATTAGGATGCTTCAATGTAAATGAGACCAGAATCTGGTCCAGTGTTCATAATTTGAAATTAGAATCCTATTAGCAGATGTCACTACATTTCTTTTGCTAGTGAGGTTCATGGCTTAAAACGAAAAGAGTCTAATATTACCAAATATTACAGTTATATTTTAGGCCTCCGGAAAGAGTTGCTAATGTCTTAGGTCAGGAATGACTTGCTGCATCTATTGTTTCATCAAGGATTTAGGTTTTACAGTGACCATATATGGGAATCTTAAACTGTTAGGCATTAATATAGATTGGCAGAGAATTTGTTTAAACAGAGAGCTATTTTAGAAGAGAATTGGAAAGGAGGCCTACTAGTGAGAAAGCAGCATTCACATTGTATTGTTAGAAACAGAGATGATACCACAGGTTCCACTGGTAAGTAACAAGAAGCTGCTCCTGACATCAGGCTTCCCGTGTAGCCTCTGAACTGCACAGGGCAGCGAGAGGCAAAACCAGCCCAGCCTCTGCTACCCACCAGGGCACGAGCAGATCCACATTTAAAGTACAATCAAAACCAAACCAAGGTAAAATGCCCATAACCATTTATACGAAGTAAGGCTTGCAACATTTAGAAGTGGGCAAATGGCAGCCACAGCTAGTAGCTCAGGCTGCAGGGAAGCTATCTAGCTGTTGTTTCAAGCACAAGAGGAAGGAAGCCAAAAGAGTCTAAGCAATTTCTTAGCAGCTGGTGACTTGAGGGCAGCACACACACCTTAAGCCCCTACCTGGAGCACACAACACACTTGAAGATAGGTGGTTTTCACACCCCACAGGAGCAAAACACTCTGCATGACAACACTTCATGTATGCAAATGTTGGTTCTGTCTTCATGTTTTTCACTGTGGTACACAGTCTAAGAACCATGCAAGAGGCTGTATATACAGCACAAAGAGACACCAACAGGCACTTAAACAAAATTAAGCTTTTGTGTACCACAAAATGTTTCTTAGCCTAAAAAAAAAAAAAATTAATCAAATTCCCTATAGAGTTTTTGTTTCAGAGTTCTTAGCAGTCTTACTTTTCAAATTGTTCTAAAAGTTTAAAACCTTTTAAGGTCATCGAAGACCAAACACAATTTCTGAGTACATCATTTTAGCTGCCTGATTTGATTGAAAACCTGTGTGACCAAAAGACAGAAAATCAGATGTAGTACTTACAAAACAGGGATGGTTACTTGCCATTAACTTACAAGGCTCAGTTTGGATGGAAAAATAAGCATATTGAAAAAAAAAAAACAAAAACATTGAGAACATTTTTTTTATGAGATATTTTTAACTGTACCTTTTTTTTAGAGCAAGAAGATATCTTAAGCACCTTACAATATCTTTCATTTAACAGTTGGCAGAAGGAAACTCCCAGATGAACACTGGCCTGTGTATTTCTCTTTAACCAGCTGAGCGATCCAAGCTTTTAATAAAGCTGTTCCAATTATTGTAAAAGTCATCTAGTACCTTATAGCCACAAATATTGACAGTTTATTGCACAACGCATTCATGACATTTGAAGGTCACATCATACATAATACATACACTTTTATAAAAGTGTCTGGAACAAAGAGATACATGATCAGCAATTACGTCTTACCATTTGAGGGGATGATTTTATACTTGCTTAAAACTGAATACTATATGAAATGCAAATTGTTACTAAAACACAAAATAGTTCATTTTCTGTGTTTATTGTTTTATTAATCAGTAATCTGGAGTTCAGTTGTACAAAATCAGTGGAATGCAGTCCATGCCCCAAGAAGATTAGTTAAATACCATTATCCTCCAAACCATCACACATATTCTTAGCTCAGCATGAGAAGAAAGTAAGCTTAAAACTTTACTCTCACTACTGTATACCTCTCCAGCCATACTGAATCCAACGACACTTCTGCACCTAGATTTGAATCACAACCTTAGTATATTATTTAAATATTACTTTTGATAAAATCGAATCAAAATGAAACTGAAAAGAGGGATGAAGAATTTTTTAAAATGTATGCACATGCAGACATATCAAACTTCTTCATCCTCTTCCAGTGATCGTGACTTTTAAAGCCACTCTACAATAGCACTCACATGCACAAATGGTTTAATGAAAAGGTGTAAGCTGCAATTTATGCAGTCAGGCCTGTGCACCGGGTCCTTCAAAGAAGTCGACAGACATCAGAAATGCACAAAGCATGCCCATGACAGTGCTCTGTCTTTGGTTAAAGTCTTCACTTTTATGGTATCACCATTAGATTCTGGAATCTCCAGCTACCTAATGAGAGCTGAGCTTGCACCAAATGACAACAGACCACTACATTGTTCCCTCTAAAACTATTTTTTCCTGGTTAGTTTCAAAATCCTGCCATCTTCTTTCCTAAACTCTTCCACGTGACTCTTCCACCACCCAACTCCTTCACTGGCTTTTCAGTTATGCTATTCCAAAATCATGGCTTTGAAATCCCACTTCCTTAATTTGCCTGTATATGTCAAAGCACTTCAGATCCCAAATCACTGAGTTTGCCAGATCAGGTTCAGGAAATTCCCCTAGACTTGTTTAATCTTTCCACAGGGAAGGAGGATGCTTTAGATGAGAATGTATGTTGTCATTTATCAGAACAATGGCTCTGTTTGCTTTCTTCAGAATAACACTAGTCACCCAGTTATGAGCTTCTGCTTGTTCTTGCTTGCTTCAGAAGCCTGCATCTGAGCTGTCAGAACATCTGATTGTACTTCTCTTTTGCTCTTTGGATCAACAGTGCTGGGCTTAATACTCATGGATCTTTCCTTGGTATTTTGTCAATGTTCTTTGTCATCTATCCTCAAAATTTACTCTGTTGTTCACTCATCCATCTGATAGCACTGTTAGCACCCAAACCTTCTATAAGCTATCCTTTCCACACTTTCTACTTTTCTTAAAATAAGCTTAGAATATTCTGGATTTCTACCAAATGTTCATGCCAGCAGCAGCAGTCTGTGATTCTCATGTAAGCCTGTCTCACTAGTTTTCTTACAAACCCCTTGACTCACCTGTGTTAGCTTTGATCCTGTCACCTAAATTTGAAATGGGCATTTGATTACTGACCAGAGAGGACGAGGTCTTTCCACACTTCACACAGATTGTTTACTGCTTTTGGAGAAAATTCCAGTGGGGAATCTAAACAGAGAAGCTATCCAACTGGACCATCTTTTGGATTTGTATGTGTTATTTGTAGGCAGGTGTTCAGGTACCAGATGGCCTTAAAGCCCCTACTACTCAGGTTATAGCAGCTTCTACGGGCTGTCTGTATCATATTCCCATCTCTGAGATTTGCAGAGTGGCTACATGGAGCTTGATAAACACTTTTACCTAGCATTGCTCTCCAGATGCCAAGGCTCGATCAGATATCCAATTTGGGAGAGTTG